GTGTTTACAATGGGAGAGGAGGGGTTTGCAGTGTTTACAATGGGGGGAGGAGGGGTTTGCAGTGTTTACAATGGGAGGTAAGGGGGTGACAGTGTTTACAATGGGGAGGAGGGGTTTGCAGTGTTTACAATGGGGGGTAAGGGGGTGACTGTTTGCAATGGGGGGGAGGAGGGGTTTGCAGTGTTTACAATGGGGGGGCGGAGGGGTTTGCAGTGTTTACAATGGGGGGAGGAGGGATTTGCAATGTCTACAATGGGGGGAAGGAAGTGGCTGCAATATGTACAGTGAGAGGGAGGAGGGCTGTACAATGCCTACAATGTGGGAGAGCAGCTGGTAACAGTGTCAAAATTGGGGAGAAGCGGTGTGCAGTGTTGACAATATAGGGATGAGGGTTCAGCAATTCAGAGGAGGGGTCTGGAATGTCTACATTGGAGGGGAGAATGTGCCTGCAGTGTCTACAATGTGGGTGAGGAGGGGGCTGGGTTGTCTACAATGTGGGTGAGGAGGGGGCTGGGTTGTCTACAATGTGGGTGAGGAGGGTCTGGGTTGTCTACAATGGGTGCAGATGTGGTCGACAACATCTACAATTGGGGAGAAGGGCTCCACAATGAGGAAGAGTGTTACAATGGCAGGGGAGAGGATTGCTGTGACTACAGCGGGGGATGCGGGGGCAGCAATGCCTACAATGGAGAAGGGGAGTGAGAGGGTTGCAATGTCTACAATGTGGAGGCTACTTCACTCTCTCCTCCTGCTTGGTGTCTGTGAGTTGTTGGCTATGAGATGATACATGATATGTAATACTGCCAAGCCTGTTGACAATAGGATGTGGCACACCTAGAGAAACCAAAGAAGGTTTGTTTTGTGTAACAGATTTATAACATCAAAGTAGGCCGTTCAGCCCATCATACCCATGCTGATTGTAATAGAGCCATTCAGTCTCATCCAATCCCAAGTTTTGGTCTGTAACCCTGTGGTATATGAATTGTAGATGTGGTGAGGGTTTTTGCCTCTTATGAAACTTTCAAGCAGACTTCTAAATCTGTATCACCCACCAGTGAAAGATAACTGCTTTTCAATACAGGAGGCCATTTCCAGTCCGCATTGTATAAGCCAATTCACACGTTAAAGGTCTAACTAACATTGAGAGAGAAGTTCTGCCCATCAGGATAAAAGGACTATATCTGGAAGGAGCTAACCAGTGTGTTTCAGTATTCTAAGGTGTGAGTTCAGTAAACCTCAATGTGTACAAAAGTTAATGTGTACTTTTAAGTCTTGCCTGAGGTCTCACAAGGGCCTAACATATAATAGATGCAATTTATAATACAGCTATTTAGTTTATCAAGACTGAGCCTCTTCTGTGTCCAAAAACTTTGTGTGGGCATTCTTCCCCATTTGATATCAGTAATTTAGACTAATATCATTTAGAAGGATTGATGGCAGTGAATCTAACTAAAACATATCAGCTGATACTGGTGGAAATTAGCACAACATACCATGGCAGCAACGGCTGGGCACCATTCTCACATATAAAATGCTAACAATGGTATTAGTCTAAATTACTGATATTAAATGGGGAAGAATGCCCACACAAAGTTTTTGGACACAGAAGAGGCTCAGTCTTGATAAACTAAATAGCTGCATTACAAATTGCATCTGAGTTACATGTTAGGCCCTTGTGAGACTTCAGGCAAGACTTAAAAGTACACATTAACTTTTGTACACATAGAGGTTTACTGAACTCACACCTTAGAATACTGAAACACACTGGTTAGCTCCTTCCAGGTATAGTCCTTTTATCCTGATGGGCAGAACTTCTCTCTCAATGTTAGTTAGACCTTTAAGGTGTGAATTGGCTTATACAATGCGGACTGGAAATGGCCTCCTGTATTGAAAAGCAGTTATCTTTCACCGGTGGGTGATACAGAAACTTCAGCCCTATAAAAGCCACCGACATCCGAGGAGAAAAAAGAAGAAAATCATTCCAGTAAGAAAACCAATTTAAATAAAAAAATTTCAGCAACTTAAAAGTACACAGAGCCAGTAAGCTTCTGTGAAAGCAGCAAACTGATAGTTTAAAAAGGCTGCTAAAGCAATAACAGTACTAAGCCTGTCTGCAGAAGTTGGAAACTGTTAGTAATGGTGGAAAATACTGAAAAAACTGTGAAGACCACAAAAGTCTCATCACAGCTAAAAATCATAAAGCTGAACATTTAATGCAATTGATATCTGACACCTGAAGTTATTTCCTTTGATGAAAGGTAAAAGTTCTCAAATTAAAGAAATATCTAGCCTGAGAAGCTAAAAGAAGACTTAAGTTGCTATATTTAATAATTAAGCATCATTATAATCACTTAAAAGTGTTGGCAGCACAGCAGAAAAAAAAACTCTTTAAACTTAAAGTAATTGTGAAGGAATTTAGTTAAGAAAATTGTTAACTCAGCAGTATAAGATCAAGTAATTTGAGTGAAAAAGTCAAAAGCAGAAGAAAGATGCACTAAAAATCATTACTTTGAATAAAAAAAATTCAGGTGTACTATAAAAACTAGTCTCAAAGACATGAATACAATGTAACACTTTTTTACAGTTTAAAAAGGTACAAATCTCACAGAGTATAAAGAAATTGGATGAATCATTCATGTTGTTAAAAAGGGTGCAACTAATATGAAGGGGAGAATGACATGAATTTAGAGTCTCCTCCATCTTGGAAAATATACAAAATTTATTTTATAAGCATTTTAACAATGTTTAAATTTAGCTTCACACCTCAGCCTTTTCCCCACAGCACAGCAAGTGAATCCTCTCCAGCACTCTTTTTAAGCAGAGATTTTCAAATCTTAACAATCCTCTATGTGAAACAAATTCTCTTCATTTCCTTTTCATTTTGTCTCAATCATTTAAAATCTTTTATGTCTAGTTATCAACACACCAGAGGGAACATTTTCTTCCTGCTTTCTTCATCAGAACTCCTTATAATTTAGAACATCTCCAGTTGATCTCTCTTTTCTGTTCACTGGTCTAAGAAGTATATTCCAGCTTCTGCAGTATCTCCACATAAATTAAGTCCCTCATCCTTGATATCATTATATCAGGCATAATCTCTAACCTTTCTGAGGTACAACATCCATCTACTGTAGTGCCCAAAACTGGACATAAACATTCAACAATTTATTTTCCCTGCTGGTATCTTCTCGTACTATTTCTTTGCTTCGCATATTTTCTTTTTGAATTCCCCTCTGAAATTCCTATATCATGTCTGATTATCAATTGTATTGTCTACTTGACATCTGTCATAGACACATTTATCTACTTCATCTCTTACCTTCTACTTCTTTTGTGACCCAGAGAGAATTACATTCATATACCATACCTTTCCCCCATCATAGGAATAAAGCTTGACTGTACATAAACTCTCCCTTCTCATCTCTTACACATTTTGTCTTTTTAGAATGGTGTCATTCATGTAATATGTCACTTGTTGATATAGTTTCTCCCAAAGTAAACCCCTTCACAATTACCACATTAAATTTTATTTGCTAGCGTCTGTCCATTTCACCAGTCTGTTTATGTTCTCCTGAACTTTATTATCCTGATGACTATTTACTAATGTTGCCATGTTTTGTATCAATCACAAAGTTTGAAATTGTTCTCCTGATACCCAAATCTAGATAATTTTACATAACAAGAAAGCAATTGCTGAACCCCGGCACATCCACAAATACATGTCTCTAATATGAAAATAAATCCATTCACTATTAGTCTCTAATGGCTATACCTTGACTAATTACATACCATCCCTTTAATGTCATTTACTTTTAATTTTTGATTAAGTCTGTTATGTAGTACTTGTATCAAATGTGTTTTGTTGTATGTCCAGATACACGTAACTACTGCATTACCTTTATCAACCTTCTCCACTGTTTCATCAAATAATTCAGTCTGGTTTGTCAGGCACCACTTTCCTTTATTAACTCTCTGCTGGATGTCATTTTTAATTTGGATCTGGCCAATGTTGTCAAGTAGACTTTCCAACTATTGATGTCTGGTCTGTAGTTGTATGCATACGTTTCGAACAGGACTGTAAAATTTATCACTGTCCAGTCCTCTCTCTGACGCCACACTCGGAACCATAGAGAACTGAAAGATTGTGGTCAGAACATCTGTTGTCTCACGGCTGGGATGTATCCTTTCTGGTCTGGGAGACTTGTTCATTTTGAGTGATGACGACCTTTTTTAAAAAGTGATTGTAGGAACTGCCGATGCTGGAGTCAGAGGTAACACAGTGTGGAGCTGGAGGAGCACAGCAGGCCAGATAGCATCAGCGGAGGAGAACGTTGACGTTTGGGGTCGGTACCCTTCTTCAGAAGGGTCTCAGTTTTTTTTTTAAATGTTTCTCATTCCATCTTTACCCTCATCTTTCTGTACCTGATTTCTTCGAGGCAGAATTCACAGGACCCCAGGCCATGTTTGAAGAAATACATTTGTAAGGACCATGCATACTTAGGACTTGCGATAATCATGTGACCTGTGCTGTATCTTTCACTTTAAAATACGTAGCCCTTAACTATTCCATATACAGCAGTCTACTCCTAATTGTGGGACTATTTGGAAAGGTGGGAACTGCTGGAAGTTTATGTCTCGAATAAGGGCACCTTGTTGAAATTATTCCAGGTTCTTCTAAAAGGCCAGCCTTCTCCCCAGCTTATAAATTTCCAATCAAAAGCGTTTACCAGGGCCCACCCCTCGTCATGGTCAATAAAGCGAGTCTGAAATCACTTGCCCCTGCTTCTG